ATCTATCTATCTATCTATCTATCTATCTATCTATCTATCTATCTATCTACAGTATCTATCTATCATCTTTCTATCTTTCTATCCATCTACAGTATTTATCTATATCTCATCTATCTCTCATCTATCTATCTATCTATCTATCTATCTATCATCTATCTATCTTTCTATCTTTCTATCTTTCTATCTTTCTATCTATCTTCTATCTCATCTATCTAATCCTACCTACCTACCTAATGTACAGTATCAATGTATCTAAAGGCCAGATGCAAACAAACAAACAAAAAAACTAGAAAAAAGATCCAGAATAGCCTATAGAAATATAAACATTCTCCCGACTACCAAATTTTACCTCCAGAAGGAAAAACACTTTGGCTGTTTCTCCTTTCAGCGGGGGGGGGGAAAGCTCCTCTTTTAACAATTCCCACGAGATAGAGACAGAGACAGAGAGAGAGAAAGAAAGAAAAAATTGTTAAAAGTTTTGATGCAGTGCTTGGAAGCTGGCATACACATCCCAAGCGATATTTCAAAAATATCCTCAAGAGGGAAGCCAGAGGCCCCTCTTGAAAACGCGTTCATAAAATGGGCCGGTTTTTTTTTAAAGAGCCCAAAATAAATTGCCTGCCAATTTCCCCCCCCCCCCCTTCGCTGGAGACCCCCAACCCAACTTTCAGGGCAGAAGGACCTCAATACACAGGTAAAGAGAACTTGGGAAAATAAAAAGAAACACCAATTTGTTTATTTGCTCTGATTTTGGATTCTGCATAGGGCTGTTTGGGTGAGTGAGTGTTTTAAAGAGAGAGAGAAACGGAGGGAGGGAGGGAGAGAAAAAGAGAGAACAGGATTTTTCCCTCTAGTCTACCATCTCTCTCTCACACACACACACACACAGACACACACACACTGAGGAAGTACGACTATCCAGCCCTTACAGCTTGTGAAAAATTAAACTCGACGGATTCAAACTGTCCTATTTCCACATCAAAAGGGTAAGCGCGCTGAGCTCTTCCCAAGTTATCATCAAACGCCAGCACCCTAGAAAGTTTCATGAAAAAAAGAAAGGGGAAAAAAAAGAGAGAAAGAGAGAGAGAGAGAGAGAGAGAGATGGGGGAGAGACGAGAGCCAGGAGCTCCCCTAAGCCCTGTGCCCCTTACCAAAGCCTCCGCCGTCTCTCTTTCTTTCTCTTTCTCTCCTTCACCTAATTATACCCTTGTGAGTTTATTAATCAACTTGTAAATTATTTACCAAGTAGCCACGCGCTACTACAAACACACGGCGGGAGGAGGACCAGCGGAGGCGGGGGGGAGAAAACTCCCAGCAAAAGTCCCCGAGGATTTCTTACGATGTTGAGGCAGCGTGTGATTTTATTTTCTTTCTTTATTATTTTTTTTCATCAAATAAAGAAGAAATAAAACCCAAGCTTATCTCTCCGACAGGGAAATTTACCTAGCCTTTCAACTCGCAGAGAGGCTGGGTAAGTTATGTCTTCTCAAATATATATGTGTGTGTATGTGTGTGTGTATACACACACACATACACACACATATATACATACATACATACATACACACATGAGTATACATACACAAACACATACACACACAAAATGTAGTGGGGGGGGAATAAAAAGATTTGCTCTCAGTTAGAGACTTTTTAGAGATTGAGGTAGGGGTAGATTTTTTTTTTTGGAAATATTTTTTAGTGTTTTATATCATACATTTCCTTTCTTTGTTGAGCAGTGTGCTCTTTAGGTGTCCAAGATGTTAATATACAAATATCATCATCATATAACTCTGATTACCTGTTATCTTAGGATGACCCCGAGCCTCCCTTGTAGATCCCAAACGGTAGATTATCCCTCCTGGGATAATCCCCAGGAGGTGGTGAGTTCTAGTCCAACCTTAGGCATGCAAGCCAGTTAGGTGATTCTGGACCAGTCAAAGGGAGACAGAGAATTCTAGTCCACCTTAAAGCTGGGTGGGTGGCTTGGGGATAATCCCCAGGAGGTGGTGAGTTCCAGTCCTGCCTTAGGCATGAAAGCCGGCTAGGTGACTTTCAGATGGATGACTTGGGCTAGTAATCCCTCTCTCTCAGCCCAACACACCTAACAGGGATGTGGTTTGGGGGAAAATAAAGAGTTATTTATAGAAATATTTCCCATAAGTAAGAAAAATAAATAAAACACCCCACTTGGAGAATTAAGCTCAGAATTCATAAAGAAAAATGACCGTGGACTCTCTATTATTAATTGGATTCGTCTTATGGGGGCCTGTCCTCAGGAACAACCATGGCAATTCCATTTTCTTTCGTCCTCTCCCAAAAAGCTGTCACCCTTCTCCCTACCTGGCCATCCTCCATCCAGGTACGGCTTAATGAACTTCCCCAGTTTGGTGTCGCCAGTAGCGGCTTCCTTAAGCATTTGCTCGCAGCAAACTGAGAAAAAGGAGATATGGAAAAAGGCAAGGTTAATTTTTAAAAAGGGAGGGAGGAAAAAAAAGAAAAGAAAAAAAGGGAGGCAGGGAGGAAGAAAGGAAGAAGAGGTAAGGATGGAAGAAGAGATAGGGATGGGAGGGAGGAAGGAAGGAAGGAAGGAAAGGGGAGCTCAGTGGAGAAACAGAAAAAGATAAGATTAATTTTTCAAAAGGGGAACAAACAAAAGAACGAGAAAGAGGGAGAGAGGAAAGATGGAAGGAAGAGAAAGGGAAGCTCAGCTGAGAAGAAGGAGAAACAATTTTTAAAAAAAGGGAAAAAGAAAAGAAAAAGTAAGACAGGGAGGGAGGAAGAGAAAGAGGAACTCAAACGGAGAAGATGGAGGGGAGAGCAGAATAACCAAAAGCAAAAATAGAAAAAGGAAAGCTAGATGTGAAAAAAAGGACACTGAATAATTTTTTTTTTTCTCTCTCTCTCTCTCTACTTTATTTTTTTCATTTTGTAAGTTCGAGAGAGAAAGATACTAATCAAAATAAGAAATACGCAGGAGTGAGGTGGTCGGTTCTCCCAGGTCATAAACTTATAATTGCTGAAGGAACTTGTTGAGAAGAAGATCTGAGGTTTGTTGGAGGGAAAGTTCTCCCAAGCACTCAAAACTCCTGGGATGCTGCTTTAGTTGTCTTCTCCAATCTTTGTTTTCGCATTTGAACAGCCCACGGTAGGGTGAAATCACCTCAGTTTGACTTTAGGGAGTTTACAAATCCCTCCGTATAATTTTTGGGGTAGAAGAGGTAAATTATTGACTTCTTTGGGGATTTTATTTGCAAGTCGAACTTCTAGCCAGAAGAACGTTTGACGGTTCTCCAACGAAACATCAAGGGGCTCCATCCCTGCAGGTTTTCAAGAAGAGACTGGGCAGCCATTTTGTCCCGAATGGTCTAATTCAGGGGTCTTCAAACTTGACAGCTTTAAGCCTTGTGGACTTCCAACTCCCAGAATTCCTCCTCCAGTCAGGTTAGCTCGGGAATTCTGGGAGTTGAAGTCCACAAGTCTTAAAACTTGCCAAGTTTAAAGACCTCTACTCTAGAGTAACTCTTTCTCAAACTTGGCGCAACTTTTAAGATGGACGGACGTCCACTCCCAGGATTCCCCCAGGGCAGCTTGCACCTCGCTTAACAAAAATCTTGCTTAGGAATGGAAACTGTGGTCATAAACCGAGGACTACCCCAACAGGGGAAAAGACTGCACAAAGGAAACACAAAGAAGAATATTTATGGAACACAAACCGTTGATGAGCCCGTATTTCTGAGCTAGCAAGGCCGCCTGCAAACTTTTTCCGGAACCAGGAGGTCCACAAAGAAGAATCCGCGCTGAGAAGGGACTGTCCGTATGAGGCGGCTGTCTCACATGTGACAGAACTATTTTAAAAAAAAACAATGGAAGAAAGGAAGAAAGAAAAAGGCAGAAAGTGATACTGACAAGGACATGAGGGCAAAGAGTTTCCCATTGATGAACACAGGGATGGAGTTTGGCTCCCTCATGACCAGAGAGAACCTGGCCACAAAGCTATTCCTGTTACTCATTCTTAAAAGAGTGGCATAAACGGAACTGCAAATTGTCCTTTCTTTTCTGCTGGGTCCCATTTTGTAACCGTCATACGACGCTGATATTTCATCACCCAACTAGGTAGTGTCATCAGTGCCAGAAGGGAGTGCAGTTTGTAGGAGGGAGGAGGAGGAAGAGGAAGAGGAGGTGGTGGTGGTGGTGATGGAGATGGAGATAATGACTATGGGGTCCTTGTTGCTCTCTGAGCTTGGTTCTTTTCTTGCTGACGTTTCATGACCCAACTATATAACGTCATCAGTGCTAGAAGGGAATGGGGTTTGGGAGGAGGGGGAGGGGGAGGAGGCGGCGATGACGACTATGGGGTCCTGGGTCTTCTCTGAGCTTGGTTGTTTCCTTACAGATATTTCATGACCCAAGTAGGGTCCATCATCCTTGCTAGAAGTGAGTGGGGTTTCTTCTCTTGTTTATATACAGATAAGCAGGTATTAACACCGGACAAACAATCAAGCAGAAAACAATACCCTACCCAAGGACCTGCCAAGGAGCAGTGGTTTGCCCTGTCAGTGTTGGTGGAAGTGTTCCTAGTGATTTTTTGATTAGTGGCTTCTTGTTGTTTACTGTTAGCTTGTTTGTCTGGATTGGTAGTTCCTTCACTGGAATATTGTTTACTGCTTCATTGTTGGTCTAATATACTAATATTGGACTTCACCTCTGCTTATCTGGGAGTAGATTTCTGGTAATGCACATCTAATACATATCAGGAATCTGTTCCTTATCCCATTACAGAAATTATCTCTCCAGAGGTTCCCAATTCTCTATTTTACACACTGCCTCCCTTGCTGGCGAAAGAAACTTGCTGAAGTTTTTCAAATTTATAGATACAGTCCAAACCCTGATTCCAAGTTGCTCCCAGTTTAAGAGCACAAGTTGAACCGCAAGCAAACATCAGCTAAGCAATCCCAGCTTATGTCTCTTCTCCCCGAGCCGGCATATCCAAGATACAAAGATTTCAGGCTAACCAGCCTGCTTACAAATGATGCTTAATTTGCAATAAATAACCAAGTTAATTAGAAGTAATGATCCCCTAGACTCCACTTCTAATTATTCTTTAAAAAAAAAAGGAAAGAAAGTAGATGCCTTCACTGGAAAAAAAAAAAGAGAGAGAGAGAGAGGGAGGGAGGGAGGTTTGTTTATTTTTTATCATTCCACTTTTCAATTTCTCTCACTGCATTATTAATTAACGATAATTAATATTCAGGCTGTGCGCATGCATTTGCAATCCGAGGCATGAATTGTTTATGAACGATGATGTGAACTTTTAAATTTAATTAAGTAATTTAGAAGTAATTAATTTGTAAACTTCAAATGTAAACTTCGGCTGGCTTTGTTTTCCTTAAAAAAAAAAATTAGAGGCCTTGAAATCAGCGAGAGGCCTTTTTGCCAAACGCATTAAACACGGAGTGAAGTTGGATGAAGAGGCTATCAGCGGCAGACGGTTGGGAGTGGAGCAATTATTATTATTATTATTATTTTATTTTTTTAAAAGCCTGACTTTAGAGCAAGAGATTTCTCCTGTTTTCCTATTGAAAAAGCCATGTTCAAACCTAAGGCAACAGACCAAACCGAATGAGACGGTGTTCCTTCCTTGAGGGGATTCCATGATGTTCTCTGCCTCTTAGGATTTGGGTCTGTGGCCGTATTTGTCAACCTTGGCAACTTGAAGCTGGGTGGATTTCAATTCCCAGAATGCAGGTGGTCTGGAGAACGCCGGCTCGATGGTCAGGAAGGGCGAGAGGGATCTTGGGCATCCTAGCGGGCGATCGCTTCCATATGAGCCAGCCGTGTGCTGCAGCAGCCAAAAAGGCCAATGCAATTCCAGGCTGCGTTAACAGAGTGCCAAGGTGCCTTCCAACCCTGTCATTCTGTTCATTTTGAGAGCTGAAGCCCACCCATCTTCACGTGGCCAAGGTTGAGAGACACTCATCTACTGGTTGATGCCACTCCATCCCAAGGACGATCCCTACATGAAGGACGATTCACACGTACAACCTCTTCCCACCTTGCCAGAAGGCGTCCGCACAGGGCTGGTCTGCGTTGATCAACTTGATGGACTTCCCAAAGGACTGGACTATTCCCGGGAAGTTTCGGTGATATTCCAGCAGCCTCTGAGCGGTCTCCTTTTCAGAGATGCCTTTAGGGGCCTTCAGACGCCAGCGGATGTTGTCGTCGGTGGGCCAATCGAAAGTCGTATGATACACCTCTGGGATAAAGACCACGCGTGAGATGGACTCAACTTAAATCCTGAAACAATATTTAGCTTGCAGACCAATCTTATTCTTGGAGAATATTTGGAACACCGGAGAAATATAACAACAGGGATGTTTCTTTGTATTTGCTCCTCTAGGAAAGAGGATAACGTAGCATCCACAAGTTGGGAGGACACCAAAACCCAGATAAGCCTCGACCAAGAAAATGCACGCTTTGCTTCCAGCAAGGAGCCCTGTGCAAATGCCCTTTATATCCTGTTTCCCCAGCTGCAGCTAATGAAGGGAATCAGGGCCTTTTTCTCCCCCGTAACCCATGTTGCTCCCTTCTCCGTTCCTCGCTGCGTGCCAAAGGATGAAGAGGGGATGGCCCTGGGTCTTCCTCTGAATGCCCAGCCAGACTGTGCCCTTCCCCATTTTCCTCCACAGCCACAAGAGCTGCTCAATCTCCCCCTTGGAATCAGACTGCAACAGGCGCATGACACTATTCTCCAAACACGTGACAGGACCAGGCGGAAGCGGGATCCTTTCCAAGATCAAACGGGGACGCTCTGCCTCCCCTACCCCAAATATTTTCTTTTGCCATTGTCAATTTCCCAATCAACATCTACAGTGGAAAAAAAATCAAGGTGTACCTCCGGTGATTTCATCCACTCGCTTTCCCAAATTCCGCTCAATCAGGACGATGTCGGGAGCATAGAGCACCACTGGGAAAACAAACAAACAAATAATTGAGGAAAGCATTACCGATGCAGGACTGAAAATTGGGGGTACTGTTTCCCCCCCCCCCACTTGCCCCCGTGCTTTCAGATCCAATCAACATTGAGGTTTCTCCTGGGTCTGGTAAAGGTAGTCCTCGGCTTACAACAGCTCATTTGAAGGTACGATAGCACTGAAAGAAGGAACTGATGGCCGTGTTTCAGACTTACGGCCTTTGTAGCACCTCCATGAGCACGTGAGCAAAACCCAACTCATATTTACGGTGGTCGCAGCGTGGTTCCCCTTTTGCAACCTTCCGACGAGAAAGGGAAGCCAGATTCACTTAAAGACCGTGTTGAGAACTGAACAACAGGAGTGATTCTCTCAACCACAGTGACAAGAAAGATACGAAAAACGGGGCAAAGCTCAGTCAGCATCTGACTGGCTCAGGAAAAGGAAATTTTGAGCTTGACGGCCGTCGTAAGCCGAGGATTACCTGTAGTGGCAAGCACATTTACGGCAGCCACAGTTCAAATGTTATTGGATATGAACTGGGAAGCATTCCGAGAGAATTTGAGAAGGCGAAGTCCATACCGACATGTCTAGGAACGATACCGTGTACTTGTAAGGACCTGGCGAATTCTCGGCTGTCAGGAATTCCTTCCAGAATCCAACCCTGAAGGATAAGATGTGCAAAATTAATCCCTCTAAAGAGCGCCCGCAGAACAACGGACGCAAAACACAACAGAGGACCAGTGAATTTGAGTAGATAGTTTTAAAATAGATATGATAGATGATAGATGATAATTACACAGAGACAGATGATAGAGGAGAGAGAAGGATGGATGGGCGGACACAGATATGGATGGATGGATGGATGGAAGGAAGGATGGATGATATAGATGAGAGGGAGTTTAGGATGGTAGACACAGATAAGATAAGATAAGATGATAAAGATAAAGATAAAGATAAAGATAAAGATAAAGATAAAGATAAGATAAGATAGATAGATAGATAGATAGATAGATAGATAGATAGATAGATAGATAGAAACATAAATACATAGAAACATAGATACATAGATACAGAGAGAGACACAGATAGACAATGAGAAGACAGGAGAGATGGAAGGAAGATAAATGGGAAAGAGGAAGGGAAGGAAGGAAGGAAGGCGTGGAGGGAATAGAAGGTAGATTGACAAACAAGTTGTCTATAATTAAGCCCATTTCAAAGTGCAGGGCTAATGCATTATAAATCAGCCCCTCTAAGGACAGATATATGGGTCATTCTCTCCCTCTCCTACCCCGCCAAGGTTCCTCCGTTCCGAGAGCCTGGCCTAGCCCTAATTAGACTACATTATCCACCGGCTCGACACTTCAGTCAAACATCCACCGCCAAGGTGGTTTATTGATATTCCGCTGGGCTCCCTCGGCCGAACCTCCCCAACCCCTCCAGCCCCCCCCGCCCCCAGCGGCCGGCTTCTGTTTTATCCCACATCAAAAGGGCCTGGATGCTCAGGGCACTCCTGGCCCCCACCCGCTGCCTCCCCACGGCTGGCTGCCTGGCGTAGAGCCGGAGGTCTGAAACAGCTGCGAGCAGATGTGGGATCACAGGAGGGACCACTTCCAACAGATGTTGGAGAGGGGAGGGGGAGGAAGGAGAGGAGGAGGAGGAGGAGGGAGGGAGGGAGGGATGGTGGGGGTAGAAAGAGAGATGGAACAGCAGGGTGTGGAACGAATTATATATTGATTATATATTGACCATGGCTCCCACCTATGGCTCCCCTTTAAAGACTCATTAATAACCCCTTCCGATCGGGAGGAAGCTGTGGGGCTGGAGGCCCCTTCTACAGGTCGTCCTCGGCTTACGACCACAAGCCCGTGGCCTTGGTTGTTAAGTGAGTTTTGCCCCCTCCTTGTCCTATGACCTTTCTTGCCACCAGCATCCCTGCGGTCGCCATGCTGGTAAGTGAATCCGGCTTTTCCTCCTGCCGCAGGCTTTGGCTTGTCAGAAGGTTGTAAAAAGGAGACGATGTGATCCCCAGGACATTGGCAACGGTCGTATGTATGAGCCAACGGTTGCCAAGCGTTCTCCTCCCACTTATGACCACATGACTGTAACCTTGTTGCTTGTATCCTAACGTTTTTTATTGTTTCCTAGTATGATTTGATTGCTTATTGTACCCTAGGACCATTATTAAGTGTTGGACCTGATGATTCTTGACTCTTGATGAATGTATCGTTTCTTTTATGTACACTGACAGCATCTGCACCAAGACAAATTCCTTGTGTGTCCAATCTTGGCCAATAAAGCCACACTTGGCCAATAAAGAATATTCTATTCTAATTTCTTTTCTTTCCTATTCTATTCTACTCTACTCTACATTCTATTCTATTCTATTCTATTCTATTCTATTCTATTCTATTCTAT